AACAAATTATAAATAAAAATACATTTCTCTGTGCCATGTGGATACAGAGAAAGGCCCTCAGTGTGGGGATGATGCAAGACCCCCCTGTACGAGCCCAGGGGAGATAAGTTACAACCAACCAAAAGGTAACACCCACCTCCAAAGCAGGGGAATTACCTTTTAAGGCAACAAACGGACAATGAATGAATATTCAACAACTGATATCGAGAGGGTACAAAGGCCCGGTTTTCAAGAAGGGTGTGTGTGTCTCGGGCGGGGCGCTGCCCCCCCCCCCCCCCCGACCACCCAGCGCTGTTTGCTTTATTATCGCTTGCTTAATAAATTTATCAACTTTTAATTGGAACTGAGTTGTCTAAATTCTTAAACTAACTTACAACATGTCTCAGCTTCAAATAAGAGTTGAGAGGTAGCTGCAGTAGCCAATGCTTTCTGAAAAGCAACATAGAAGAACCAAAAGTTAAGCTGTAACCCACAGGACTACTTGAGATTGAAGCCTAGTCAGACCCACAGCATTTTTGCCCTCTGAATCCAGACTAGTTTTTCACTGAATGCTCCAGGATGAACTGTTTCAGGCTATAAATCTCTTTCATTTTTTAATTCTTTTAAATAAGGAACAACAAGTTTACCATCTGTAAGGAATGTCTTCTTTCCTACTGTCTCTGTATGCAATCAACATTTGATATGTAGTAGAAAAAAATGACAGCACAGAGATGAATCTCAAGAACTTTGCTACAGCCATAAAAAAAAGAAGGTAAAAGTTAGTGGAAATCCTAAAATATCTTGCTCTTTTCTGAAGTTGGTACATATAAAAATAATTTAGTAATTACCCATAAAATTACGACAAGGTGTGGGAAATAACTTAAAGGTGCTATTTTTCAGTTATTGACACTCCAAAAGAAATGAGGGACTATTGGATCCTTTATGCCTTCTTTGTCACCAACTCATGGATAATATGTATATCTCACCCTTCTCATGGACAACATGTATTTCTGTTAAGATACAGACTGTACTGTAGAGATTTGCAGACATTGCAGATAGAAGATGTCAGAATGCTTGTGCTATTAAGAACAGTCTGGTTTTATCATAATTAATAAGACTTTTTCCCTAGTTTTTATCTGTTTAATTTACCAATTTTAATTTTTTTTCTTCAAGAAGAGACACCTTCAAATACAGACACAAATGGGGAATCTGTAGAAAGACTGTATACACCAAAGCAGGCAATTTCTTTTGTATCTCCAAGTGGACTTCATCCTAATAAACCAAACAGAATTAATGTGCAGAATTAATCTCTGAAATGAGCAAGTCTGTGCTCCAATGCTACAAAGTACTGTGCTTTCTTTGTCCCACTGAAACGTGTAATTAGGACAGGGAAGGGAGGAAAACAACTCTTACCATGTACATTTGTCATGTGTTTTAAAAATACAACAAAGGACACGCTGAGAACAAAACCCACATAAACCACTTGGCCATGATCGATTGGAAGTCACTATCCTATTACAGTTATAAAAAAGGTAATACACTGCTCTAATAAACCACACAGTTCTAAATTCAAAATTAATCCTGTGACAATAATGCAGCCATATGAAGATAGCACTGTTCAGGAAAGATTAACTCAATTGGTATGGAGAAAAGTTACTTGGGCGACAGGGGAGTGAAGGAACTGTCTTACAAGAAGCCCCCTGGAGACTTGCTTAGAATTGGAGAGACAAGGCTGTATCAATAAAAGAGAGGTAGGAAAAGAACGACAACCTAAAAGAGGGTATGCACCTATGGGTCAGGAGTGGCCTGTGCTCATCCATGGCATGACTCCTAACACACACTTCATTTAGTCTGTTGGCACAGGCTTTGCACAGAGAAGAGAAGGCACATTCTGAGCCTATCCATACACCTGCAGTCAGATGTCAGCCCCCAGTAACAAAACAAAACTCCAAGCAGGAAGGTGAGAGGTAGCTGTTAACTACTTTTGACTGTCTACTTTGCCCTTAAGTGGATTTGAATCTCACAGTTAGACTCCACATCTCAGCTGAGAAGGAACCACTAAGTGTCAAGCACTGGACTTCACCTCCATTCAGCATCAAGTGCACACTTAGCTATGTGATGACAGGCTTTGTTCCCCTTCATTTACTTCACAAATGTTCAGCTCCTGCCCAAGTGCAACTAGTGCAGTGCACACACATGTTCAAGGAAGGTTAGAATGCAGTTTAAGTTCAGGAGTACGCTAAAAAGCCAGTACATCAATGATACAGTGATAAACATGCAAGGAGACCATGCATAACTCACAGATCAAAATCAGTGTGGGATTCACTGGGCAGAGTAGTGTTTTTTTAACATTAAGAGGAGCAGTTAAAACCAATTCACAAGATATAGAACAGAAAACATGTATTCAATGCTTCAGATAAAAAGTTAACACGCTGCTGAAATCCTGCTGGTAAACTCTGAATACTCTGAAAAAAACCTCAATACTTGCCCAAAAAAACAGTCTGTGTCATTCATCCACTGGTTTATGAACTGTGCAGTGATGGGCTCAGGATTGTGTGGAAATCTGATGTTCTCCAAGGTATGCAGAAGTAGGTCAGGATTGTAGTAGAGTGCAGCTATGGCAACTTGAAGACACATGGTACGGAGCTCACTTGTTTTAACCCCTCTGGTGAGTCGCTCCAGCACAGCCTCCACAAAGAGCGGAATGCACTGGGCAGAAAAAGGAGAAAAAAAGAAAAGGAAAAAAAAAAGAAAGAAAGCAGTCATTATACATGCTGCCTGATTATACAAAAGTTTTAAATACTTTTATCAGAACTGATGTCCAGAGTTAACTGAAGCCCAGGTACAATAACCTAGGAACACATTCGATTCACTTCCTAGTATAAAAGCATTTTTAGCCTCTGATCACATGCTTATAAATCAGCTCTTCCCTGAGCTAAAAACTGCAATGTTATTCTGAGCACAGAGAATATATGGGACCATTTGGTGGAATTTGTTCTAGCATGTATAAAAGGTTCAGAAAAGAGCTCAAAGACATTCTCATCTTTAAATAAAGATATCCAGCAACTTCAAAACTAACAGGCATTACAAACTAAATTTCCTAAATAATGTACAGTGATGTTAAAAGTTTTGACATAAGTGAGTTTATTCAGATAAAATCAAGTATGCACAAATTTCCAAGCAATGAAATACACATCTACTAAACACATATATATTTCAACGTGCGGATTTACACTTTATAAAAATCTGGGAAGCATTATGAGCATTTTAGTTTATGCATTTCAGTTTTGTGTGCAACTATTTCAATTCAGAGAGTTGTACAGCTCAGTTAAGCTTTCCACCATCCACTTATTTCAATGCAAATGCATTGGGTTCACTTTAAACTCTTCTAGATTTCCTTTGAAAGAAAAATCTTTCAGGGGACGTTTTTATCTGCAACGACTTCAGATTTACATTCATAAAGTTATGCTGGTTTCAATAAAATTAACTGAAAATTTATCACCGAAGTCCATGGACTGCATTGGTGGCAACATCAAATATTATATGTCAAAGTAATTTAGGATCATTACATAAGCCCAGAATTTAGCTCCTAATAGAAAAAAGACTGCTATCTAAAAGTGTGTTCTAAGAAACTCTAGAAAATTTTGATTATGATTTTCCCTGTAATCACAATCCAGCCACGATAAAAAAAGTCTGCACTTCCAAATGCACTAAGTAATTTAAAACATCAAAAAGTTCCTGTGGCTTGGAGAAACAACAGTAGTTGGATACGTATAGTTAAACTCTCAGCCGCAATGGTTTTAACTATGTGTGTTTTGCATCAAAAGGGAAAATTCTATTAGGAGAAAGCAAAAAAAAAAAAGACAACCCTGAACAACATCCTATATCCTTATCATTCAGCCTATATCCATTTTCTGGTCATGCCCATTAATACCTCATCTCAAAAACATAACCCACAACCTTACAAACTCTCGTGAGCTCATTTACTTATTTCTGTATTTCTCTCCACTTAACAATTCGCCAATTCCAACTGTTTTTCTCAGGAACCATACACGGATAATAGGAACCAGTAAAAGAAAAAACCTGTTCAATATACATCACCTGGTCAATCCCCCGTCCTTTGCACTGAAGAACAATCACTTCCAGGAGTTTGGCTGCATGGCACTCTGCATCTTCTCCTGCATCTCCTGTTAGTACCTAACCACCAGAATGACAATTTATCAGTATTAATCACCAACAATACTGAAAGCAAGTGCTCCTGTACCTGCATACATCAAAAAATCTCTACACAGCATATACATATCTATTCATGCTACATTTTGGGAGGCATTAAGGCACAGGAGATAAGCAAGGATAAGTGGCTAAAGGTGAACTTTAAAAAGCTGAAAAAATTGCTGCAGTTCTTCAAGAATGTTATATTATTTCTATGTCCTCACTTTCTCTTTTTAAAAAAGAAATGTTACTTATAAGAATTACTGATGTTTTCCACATTTTTTCCATTGTTTCACTTCAATTCTAACAGTCACTGGCAAAGTGAAGTCCTATTTCCAGGCTAGCTTCTGATTAAAAACAAGAGGTATGCAATCATTCCGTGTGAAACTGAGTGTTTGTCTCAGTACATTTCAACAGCACAGACAGTGTCAATCAAAACTGACAAAGCAGCAGAATTCTCGAACATACTCAAATTCTCCAAGCTTAAAAATCAGCAGGTAGCTAGATGCCTAACACTCTAAAATGCCCCAAATCAGAGAAGGACTGCAGCATGATCTCATACTTCATTATACATGAAAGACTCAGTATAAAGGAGAAACATGGCAAGTGTAGGAAAAACTTCAAGTGAGTTCGCACCTTAGCTGACAACCAGGGAGTCCAACTGCAAGATACACAACCCAAGGAAATCAGGCTTCATTAATTCCTCTACTTACCAAAATAGCTGTTCATAGAAGAGAGTCAAGATGAATAGCAACTTTCTCCCACACATATGGGGAGACGTGTAATTTTTTAAAAGCATGCCACTTAAAAAGTGTGAAGGTTTTGTATGCGCTCAGAACTGAGCTGAGACCAAAATTCCCTTAGTTCTGAAATGTCTGGCCACCACCTGGCATGTTCAGGTCACTCTGCCAATCTGATTGTTAAGTACTAGTGATAAGCACAACAGTAAGAATCAGAGGTCTTACCTTTTTACACATGGCGTAAATGATTTCTAAATGCTTTGGGTTAGACAGTAAAGTATCAGTGTCAATGGTCACATAATTATGCAAGAGAGGCATCATATCTGTAGAACAAGGAGAGTAAAAAAGAAAAAAGTTACAAACTAATCCAAGCAAGTGCTAACCAGTGAGGGTGGAGTCCTATAATGGCATTTATTGGCTTATATTCTTGGATACCACTGGAAATTCAAACTGCAAAAGTCTTTTCTAGAATCCTTCACAAAGTGCACCACGCAGGGTACATCGTCAGAAGAGGAACTAGGCCAGGACTACATTTTAACTAAGTTTAATTTGCAGTTTTGCATTAACTTTGAATACTTCAGCTTTCTTTGAGTTTAGGATCTCCTACAATAACTGTCACACTGACAGATTTGAACATGCTTCTACTACTTAAATATGCTCCTGTTAAACTCCCATACTCAACAGACGGTCAGGGCATGACTCAAATACATGATCATTTTAAACCAAGACACTAAATGGAAGCGACCCTTAATGAGGTGGGGTTTGGAGATGAATTCTCAAACAGTGGAAACAGAACAGAAGGGATCGTACCTGCAAAGTATTCAAAGCAATCCTGTTGGAAAACCTCATACAGAACACCTAAAAGCTGCCACATCTGAGGTGAAATCATCTGGCATGTTAAGCTGAAGGCCAAGGAGAGAATTTCTTCATAAAACTCTGCAAAAAAGAATCAGTTTGAAGCAGGGTGCTTTAAAAAATAAATTTAACTTGCAAATGCCTTGAAATCTGAAACCAAGTCCTGAGTCATATAACAACATTAGAAACTAAATCATACATAGAAAAATAGTACAAATCGGAAAAGACTCTTTCAGATAGGCCTCAGGTTGGCCACAGTTACAACAATATGCATAGTTTTCCACTATCAATATACACCAAAAAATAGACATCACCAGCATATCAAAGACAATGCTTTTAACCAATTACTGAAAAATATTTTATTTTCTCAGCCTTTGTTTTTTTCCTAAAGGCCTTATCACAAAACTGTGTAACTCTTTAGTGCAGGGTAGTGATAAAGTAGTAATTTAATTGCAGACCATGTCCATAACAGACTAATGTAATTGTAGACATAGTCCTTTAAGACAGCTAGCCAGAATTATAATCAAGAACTGCATCTTCTGCTTTTGAGTTTGACCTCTAAAACACAAGAAACAAGTTGACTAATTCACAAGAGGAGATAAGGAGAAACAAATTGTAACTGAAAATTAATGCATTTTTTATTCTTTAAAGAAGTACACACACACACAAAGACGAAATTCTGTTCTTGAAGATAGCAATAATAAATTTACATGTTTTTACATTAAAAAAATCCTTCATGTTTTTTCTAAAAATTATCTCTAACACATACCTATGACATGTTTCTGCAAAACAAGGCCAATGATCTGTAAACAAATGCTCTCAAGCTGTTGAGTGATCTGAAATAAAAACACACAGCAGTTTATTAAAAAATTTTAGAAATACAGCTATTTAATAAAGGTATTTGACTAATTCAGTTTGAGAAGTTCTTACAAGCGGCTTCTACAATTTTTTTAAAGCTGCATTAACAATCACAATATTATCAAATCAGGTCTCACTGATGCAGAAAGAATCTCTTTTTTCCCCTGAATATCTGAAATATAAACTTACATTGCACCACAACTGGGAGACCAATTCCTAGGAATACTATCCAAGAAATCACCTACAAATACGGGTCACCATTGTAAAAAACTAGCCTTAGGCAAAACATTTCTCCTTAAATTCTGTTTTAACAGTCTGTAATACAACTAGCCACTGTGAGGAAAATTAACCCTACCCCAGTCAAAGTCTGCACATTCCTAAGAAGTGTTTACCCAAAAAAGTGCTAAGAATGTTACCCTCAGGTTACAGATTACCCTCGAAGTTGAGAGCTAAACAGCGAAGAAATCACAAAAGTAAACTGGGCTTTAAATTCAAATTTGTCACAGATTGACTGGTACCATCCTGTTACAGTAATGCATGTTCATGTCAAGTGATGCAACATACATGGAAGTGCCTGTTATCGTGAATGAAAGGCATGTGGAATTGGAGAAAAGCATGAAAGAAAATCTCACCTCCTTGTGATCTTCCACAACTGTCAGGATTGTGTCAATTGTGTGCAAGATGCCCATGGCCATAACTGTTTTGTCCTCTACTTCCTCATATTCCTCACTCTGAAGTACTTTACCAAATATTTCAGCCTGTGAACAAAACCAACTTGACATTCAAGAGCAAACTCACATTTCTAATTTGCCATGCAAAGCCCAGACAGCTAACGCAACAGCAGCAAGGCCTTATCTCTAAGAGCTGTCAGCACTGAAGAATATGCTCCTTACTTCTGAAAGGGGAACACTGAAAATTAAAATCTTTTTTTTTTTTTAGAAGTCTATGTTAAGTCTTTCAAAATGTTAAATGGTTAGAGCTTGGCTCATTAAAAACAGTGACAAAGTTCAGCATCCTTGAAAAACCTATAGGTTTTAAAGATGCTTCCCAGAGAAAAAAAAAAAAAAAAACAAAAAAAACCACAAAAACATAAATACTGTGAAAACTATAGGTGGACTCTTATGAAGATTACTTTAAACAGTAAGCACTTCAAACAAAGTTCATTAAATGCTTCATAAACTAGGCATGTGCTTCTGACTGGACTGTTGTTGGGCTATTGACTCTTACCAGGTGTTGAGTCATGTCAACGGCGATCGTAGCCACTTCCTGACTGTACTCACAGATCATCTTCTGGATTACATTGGTAAGATCATCATTCTCCGTCTCTCTAACGATGTGCAGGAGCTCCTGCATAACTGGCCTCACATAAGGCTTCACATATTCCTTAGCTAAAAAAAACACCAAACAAGTGAAACCAGGTGAAGTCAACTATCCATAAACAAAAATATACGGTATCTCAAAACTACCAGGTAACTGACTACTCGTGAACAAAATAGTTTTTTTAATTTGAATTTGAATTATTTGAATAACAATAAATAAAAAAAAGCCAAAAAACATACCCAAGGCGCTTTTACAGTTCTTAACTAGTAGACAAAGTAAATTAATTGTACTACACTGAAATGTCGTCTTCAGCTAAAATCCAGTTTTGAGAGAATACTTGGCCTCATACATAGGCAGCATTCATTCTTAAACATACACACAAAGGTGGCATTTACTTTGTTAAAAGAAACATGCTGATTCTAACTTCTTTTATGTATAGACTGGCTGTAAAAACAAGAAGTCAGAATTCTGTGATGTGTACAGTAACTAATGAGCAAGTGAAGCTGTCTAAACATGATGAAATGCTCTTAAATCTATGCCTTTAGATGGTAGAAATGTTTAGATAAATCCGCACCCACCTCCACATCTCTAGAAAAAAAGAAAAAAAATCAATACATCAGTGTATACAGCTGATAAATCACTGTCACATACCTTGTTCCTGGTTGCTTATTAAGGTCTGAAGGGCTATGGCTGCTTCTACTTTGACAGGCATTTCCTTATCTTCAATCAGGCTCTTCTTTGTCAACTCTACTGCATTCCTCAAGTTTAACTCATTGTGAAATTTCAAAGCACTGAATGAATGAAGTACCCAACAGGACTACAAGACAAAAAAGAAAAGCAAGTTAGAGAATATTGCAATTTTTAAGCATTTTTTAAAGTGATTCAAAAACAACACTATCTATCTCTCTGTTTCCATGTATTGCTTTTTTCCCTTAATTACAGGGTATTCATACATTAAATGTAACAGGTTTTGCACTCAAGCAGTTCTTTGTCATCCTTTCTCAAATTCCAATAAATTCAGTGTGCACATAATTTACATTCATAATTTTGGTCCTTCTGGGGGAAAAAAATCATAAAAAAATAGAGAAAAAAACCTGTTTATGGCTGATATCAGGACCTGGGGATTTTGTTCAAGCTACACTCAAACTGACATTATCTACTCTGTGGAAATTCTACCTATTTTTCACAGGCATTCAACAACTTTAGTTACTAAGATCTGCTAATGAAAAATGGCCACAGCCACTGCTCAAATTCTCAAGTTCGATTTAAGAAGTAAACAATAATACATCACAGGCTTTCCATCAATTGATTTAACTGTAAAATCATTTTTTAAATCAAAATGATGAAAAAATACTGTACGACAGTTTTATTTTAAATTTTACTGTGCCTTTGCTTTCTTTCTTTCATTAACATTCAGAATGAAATCAAAGTGCAAAGGAAGGAATCACGGAAAATACCGAAATTGATGTAGGAGGTGAACTTACTCGAGCTCTGAGGTATCCCAGGTTTGACATGAACAAGGGAAACACATGATTCTGTAACATCAGCTCCATCTGATCCTTGAAAACGCTCTTCTGTTGGTGTAAGTAAAAACTAATTTTGGAGACCATTCATTTTACATACTTCATCCTAGCCAGTAATTAATTTCAGCTATCAACCGAAAAACAATGATTTGTCTATTTAATAAAGGTATTCCCTCAAACGGATCTGGATTTCATACCTTGAACAGAACAAACTCATAACCATAGCAAGTACAAAGCCAGATAAATGAAAGAACTGTAAATACATAATATCCAACTCCACATCATTCATTACAATACTGTAAACAAGAATTTTCATTTTATTTAGGCAATTGATTCTAGCTGATTTTTCTTAAAAACTATTCAAGATAACTAACCTAGTACTTTCATTCTTCCTGCAAAGGAGTACATACATATCTGAAGATAAATATCAGCTTAATATGAAACAGATCTGAGTTTCAAATGACCTACGGTTACTATAAGCATCAAAACTAATTATTTTGCACATTACAACAGCAACAAATGATATCTTTTTTCATGTTTATTAATGGGCAAAGATTAACTCCTTTGTGACAAAAATCTCCTTATTTAGAGAAGGATATTCGATGAGTTATCCTTCATTATTTCAACCTTGGCAAATCCTGGGATATTCACAGGGAGCTACAACAATCTCCAGCATGGAGATTTGGGACTTATAGCCCCTGAATACCAGAATACATAACATGCTGGGGTGTCACCACCTAAAGGAATGATTCACTAAGATAGGAAGGGGGTGAAATAGGACATTCAATACAACATGTATCTTAGGGAATCAGACTTTATTTCACCAGTGGATACAAAATTTTTTACCATACTGATTCCCCAGACCATCACAGAGGTGGATGAAGAACTGAGCAGAGAAAATACAGAGAGAAGGGGAAAGAAATTTCCCTTGTGCACGCAGGTCAGAAGTTTGTGTGCATTAAAGTGAAGTTGTGTGGAGAGCCAGGTGGCCAAGGCAGGGTCATTGTGTCTACAAGCTCCTTACAATCTGTACCTCAGTCAACTCAACAGCCAGAAAGCACTTACAAATCCAATATTTTATGCAGAAAGAGTTGATGGAATTTTTCAATGTGCCAAATTCCAAATATAAGAAATTCAGATCTGAAAGGAGTTTGCAGTGTTTGGGGATTATTAAACTTTTATAAAGTATATTATAGCCTCATGTTCCAAGACTGAAAATTTCAAACAGGAGTAGAATACTGCAATAAATTCCTTTTTTTTTCCCCTCAGGAAAGAGACAAATAGGTTTAGAAACCCACAGTCAATATGAAAATGTCCTCATAACACAAACCATGTCCTCCTCTTTCACTGCTATGCTCCAGCACGAGGGAGGGAAACTACAATTCAAGATAATCTACAAAAATTCTTTAAAAGTTACTGATGTTTCAGGAATTAAGATCAAATCAGAGATTGGTACACTGGTGAAAAAACAAATAGTAAATGTTGGTAAGATGTTGCTTGTGATATGAAGACACATCCTGCACAGAGAGGCAACTCACATAAAATACAGTAAACTACTTTTAAAAAGAAGCCTCCAGCACAAGGTCACCACTCTCATGCTAAAACTGATAATGTTTTGGAAGTTCTTTTGACATGTAACAAGGGGTTTACTTTGGACTCCACCATCTACAAAAGCATAAGGCAAACTGTAATCAATGTTAATAGATTAAATGGATTAAATTTGTATTCAGATTCCAGAAAAATACTCAAAATTCTGAAGATGTCTATTAAAAAAATGGAGAAAGACTCTGTGTTCTTCCCAGTTATTTTCAGAACTCCCAACTGGTTGATGAAAGAAGACTTAGAGCCACACATTGCAGAGTAAGAAAGTTGGAAAGCTAGACAAAACATTCCTGCAACATGTGAAGTAAACCTTTTTCTGGGACCAGAAGACACCCACAACAGTGCAGGCTGTTGGGGAACTTGATAAAGAATCAAAGGCAATGTTACTGATGGAATGGATGTTTGCTTTTTTAACACTTCCATTTTCCTACTAAAGCAGAAGAGGACCAGGGGACTGTTGTATAGCAAACAGAGCTTTGGAAAAACTTAAGAAAAATCTGTGTATAAAATGGGGATATAAAAAACAGGAAAGAATGTTAATATTTTTAAATAAACAAACCCTCATGTTCTGATTGCACAGTGAAATCTCTCTACAGACTTTATAAATATGGCTAAGGGCTAGTCATACTTTAAAAACCAGGACTTTTCTATTTTAAAATCACCACTGATAGTAAGAATTGCCAACCTTGTTCACTTCTTTACCCACCTACCTTCAGTAAAATATCTGCTAGGGATCCTATAACATGCAAAGCTCCGTCTTTCTTCCTTGGATCAATGTTTGGCTCTGTCAGAATCTGGTAGCAATATGCCATCATTTTTGGTAATACCTATGCAGGACAGAAAACACACCATCTCCTTTTGTCAAATTATTTTAATAGCTTTTTTTAAGTTAAAACATTCATAAAACATTTATTAAGAAATTTTATCTCGGCCAAAGCAACTGTGAGGTACTATGTGTAATATCTTTCCATAGTTGAAATTTAGAAGGCTTCTTTTTCATCTTTGTAGCCAAACTTGTCAGAAATAATCTCCTTGAAATTTCACATTACTACTAGGAAAGAAGGTATTTTTGTTATTGTCCTGAGGCAAATCAAAAAAGGTGATGAAAAAGCAAGTGGTTCAAACTGTACCTCGCCCATTTTTTTCCCCCTTAACTTCTCTGGCTTGTTGCACACATATATATTAAATAAATACCTATGTGTGTACATATATATATGAAGAAAAGTGGACTAAAACCTCATAAACTTAATTTGATCTATTGATTTTGGCAGTAGCTTCTAAAGTTGACTAGACTGACAAAGGTTTCTTGGCAAAACTAACTGTTAAATACAATTTCCATGCCCATTATGCCCTTTTCCAATATTGTGAAATTTTGATGGTCTCAATACCAATCATGAAAATGAGAAGGAAGGTCAGTGGGCAAGAACTGTTCTGACAGTAAAGAAGTAGAAAGGTCATATTCCACCTATGTTCTTCTTTGAAAATCCATACGGAAATGGAGCTCCCTGTTTACTGGATGTTAAAATGGTACCCAGAAAAACACTTGCCTGGGTAGTTTTGCACAGATCACTGCAAATACAGAAAGTTCTACAGAACAGTTATGTCCTCATTTAAAAAGTGACTGCATGAAATGGGTTTCACTCTTGCTAATTTCATTGCTGTCAACAGGATTTTAAATAGCATCAGTGAAAATTAATAAGGATCATGTTCACTTTTTCCCCTGCTACAGTTTGTGACACTCAGAACAGCCATGACAGAAGCTGTTTGTAAACTTGGGAAAAATCTATTCCAGTACATCTATTTCAACTCAGTTTGTATCTGGCAGATTAATTTTAAAGCTGCAAGACCAAGACATTTATTTAAACATACACACACGTATTTTAATCCTCCCAAAATTGATAGCGCTCAGCCAGGAAACATTTGATTATGTATTATCAAATAGACTTTTCAGAACTGGCTTCTTGTGGCATCTTCAAATTTAAGGGAAAAATAACATTATAAGGAAAATTCAAATAAATAAAAGTCCCCAGTTTCATACCTCTTTTCTCTTCTTTGCAGCAGTATAAAGGAGATTCTGTGCTGCTGTTGTAGTGGATGCATAATCCTCAAATACATCTAAAAAATTGGAGGGGAAAAAGCATAACAAAAAAATTTTCCTTTCTGAATGATGAATTTTTCATAGACCATCTTGTTTTCGAGATATCCCAAATTCAGGGTGAATATATAACCTCAAAACTATTGACATGGTTGTCTTCACTTCAGAGATAGTCAGACGCAAGCTTATGACACATAGCTAATAAAAGCATTTACTTTTTGCCTTCCAAATCTACTGCCACTCATCACTCCCCTTATTAAGAATATGTTATTTATTCATTAACTCTTTTGAGACCATGTATATAAGGAATGAAAAATCCTGCCTCTTTTTTTAATTACAGCCCTTACAGAAAGAACAACAGTGCATTCCAGTACCATCTGTATACCATATGTACACATTTTTGCCTTGATTAAAACCTCATGGGAAACCTTTTGTATGCAAAAGTACTTGGATATGGGGTAGTTTTATATCTGCTGCAAGTTGAAGCTTTTTAGTTTCATTCATTACAAGTAAACCTCCTTTAATCTTACTGAAAATACAATTTGTATCTTGGAAAAAATATCTGTGCTGCAAACATGTTCTAATCCAAATATCCCTACACAAATTAAACTAAAAGATCTAAAAATGTCATCTCAAAATGTGACTAAAATTACACAATAACTTGTCCTGAAAACTTGAAGATAAAACAGCATTAATAAATGCTACCAGACTACTGGAATTCTTGTTCCAAGGCAAAAAGTGCCTCACTAACCTTCCCTTTAATGTACTTTGATACTTGGTGGGTTTTTTGCCTCAGCTACATATAAAAATAAGATTCACAACTTGCACAGAAAGAACTGAATTCACACACCAAAAATCCGTGATGTATTTGTACCCCAGTGATCAATGTTATATTGTAATTAATTTGTTGCATAACAAGTCTCCAAGCTTTTTAATTATTCTATGAATATTTAACTTGTTTTCACATATGCTAATCCCAAATCAACTAATTAAAAATTCCCCAAATGTTACATATATATCTCTGTGGTGCCTGGCTTGCAGGAGTTTTCCAGCTAAAACTGCTGCATTTTTAAAATATCCTTCTCTTTTTCAATGACACCACTCTTGATAAAAGTAATTATTCATAATATGGCTTTATGTCATATTCCCAAGCTTTTGCACTGAGTCTTTTGAAAGAACACAAATATCTAATTATCTTACAATCTACTAATAATAATTGGCAAAAAAAATGCTGAAGGCACTGACAATTTTCAACAGGCAAAGAGCAAGTCAGGCCTCTTCTGGTCAAAGTGAGAGCTGCAAGGACTTGCAGACAGCTGGCACATCTGCAATTCAGGATTCTGAACATGGCATCAACAAGTGAGCAAGTCAGTCTATTTGGGCTGCTCTGAGCACATGTGAAGTAGCAAAAAAACGTTGAGAGAATCATTTAAAGTCAGTAGCCAAATGGCCCAAACTCACTTGATCTGCCACCTGCTCTGAACTACACATTGGTGAGATTCTGGTTTTGTTCTTCCTATTGTTCGGGACACTGGTGGTGAAGACAGAGACATTGCAGCAGGCATGATGAGGGTTTGGAACTATAGTTACAGTTATGATGGAAGGAAAAAGTAATGGTAAATTACCAAATTTCATGCGGATATATTCATAGGGATCCTCTTGCCAGAGCTCTTCATCCTCATCTTTGTAGCACATTAGAGAGAATATCACCTCTTCTGTTATACTCTAATTTTAGAAAAGTCAAATACACGTAAGTACACATAAAATCAAACTCCAGCAGAGCTTCCCTCCACCATGCACTAATTTATTACTTACTTTTCTGAAGAGCAATACTCCTTTAAGCAGTGCTCTTTTATTTTCTCTAACAGAAATAAACTTATAGTATTACAGGTAATTTCCTTTTGCAACAGTCCCAGACAGCAGCAGTAATTACATAATCTATCTTTACAATAATACACTACCACACACAAAATAATACTTCAGGACAGAAACAGCAGAACATTGCATTCTGCAGAAGGACCTTACCAATGCAATACTTAACATGAAAAAAGATTTCAGAGTCCTTTGTCTTTACAGTCATGGAATTAACGTGTTACAACAGGGGAGCTTATGATATGAAAAAATAAGAGCAGGAAATCACTTTTCATTTGTTCTTAGTTCACCTATAAAACACATCCTTAAAACAGAGTTCAACTCTTTTAGGTCAATGTTTTCTTTGTGCACTGTCTTTGCACTACAATCAAATGTGAATTTCCCAGATCTGCAGACAACTAGCAACTAATAAAAGGCAGAACATTATGACTATCTAGCAGACTTCAAAAATAAAAATAAATAACTTACAGAACAGAATCTCTGATTAACAGTACTTGCAATAAAAGGTAGTCGTAATACTGAAAAAACCTCACCCACATTCGTGTAGAAATGCTATTTTTTTTTTCCCAAATCAGTTACTGAATGATTCATGAAACCTTGTATAAAACTGCAAAACTGGTGGGGGGTTTGTTCGTGTTTTTTTTTATAATCACTCTGACATGCAGTGTTTATGACTGGGTTTTATGCACTGACCTGTATGTGTGGCTTCATTTGCTTCCACGTCACAGAGTGAATAACCCCTTGGTTCAGATAATTTAATGTTTGCTGAAGAACACGTGGTGCAACGTAGTCTTTTTGCCTGTACTGGTCTAAGATTCTTAATAGAACCTAAAGAAACGACAAATTAACATTTTAAATTAAGACTGAAAATTCTGTCTCATGCGTAGACATCCAGTGCATCTCTCTAGTGCATATACATAAACAGATAAATTAGTTTTATAGAAGTTCTAGAGTCAGAAGTCACTATTACGCCTTTGATCCAAAAATCATAAATCATTTAAATATCAAGGTTCTAATCCTGCAAACATTTATGTACATACATGTCCACCCTTACTGCTAGCCCTACCATATGATCACTTGTGATTATAAACAAAAGATATACTTCAGTATTCAGAGGTTCACAGTTTACAGAGACCTCAGCAAAATATGGAATAGATAAGGAAAAGACAGTGAGATTTTCAAACTGGTGACTTCTATATCTGCTAAGTAGTGTCTGTTCATATTTAAGGACAGATCCCTAAAGAAGACAAACTACTTTATAAGAACAGTGAGAAGAACAGAAATACCAAACTAGGAAAGAAAAATAGGTTCACCTAAATCTGTGAATCATAAGAGATGCAAAACTCTTAACTTCAATTACCTATTGTAACCACCAGACAGTATCACCTAACATGCTATTACAAACTCTATCACATAAAGCTTCCTTAACATAAAAGTCTGCTCTACTAAGAAGACCAGTCTGCTCTACTAAGAAGACCCCACAGTACAAAGCCACTAATCTGCACTAATGGCAGATGAATTATTAGGTGTAAAGAACTGGCATGTAAATGAATAACAATAAAAATCAAGGGCAATGCATAACAAAATATTGAGTCATATACTTCCAGCAGAACAATTCTGCTTCATAATTCTTCAGAACGTTTTAATAACTTTTATTTTGAATATAGTTCCTTCATTAGGAATACTAAGTCTGATCTTAAGTCTTTTATATGACACTCTTCTTGGACAAGAATCTTATACAGACTCGATCAAAATGTCAGCACTTAACAACTGATGAATAAGTAACAAAGGTTTAGTAATGTAATATTCACAACAGAATTCTTATGAACTCTGCAAGGAAATGTGACAAATCACCATTTAAGAGCCAGAAATTGAAGAAATGTGCAGATCATCCAATCCCTTTATCTTGAAAGTTAAACTGTCCCTTCTGCAACGTAGCTTAATACCTTAACAAACTTTAGGTATTTCAAATTATAACTGCCCTAGGAGTCCACTTGTTCACTCAGGAGTGACAATGCAAGGAATTTAGAATAGATATCAGGCTCTTTCCCTTTTCATTAAATTTACAGTCTTACCACAACCATTCCTCCTCTTAGTTCGTACTGATGGATAAACTATTCTGTTGTCAAAGTGGATGGGAAAAAGTAATTTTTTCACAGATAATCCTGGTGTTTTGAAATCTAGTTTAAATTTGACTTCAAGTGACAACAACAGCCTGGCACCCTGCATCAAAGACCCCACAAATTTAAACTGTAAGAAGCCTGCAGATGCCACGTCAAGGACATTTCATCTGGCAGCATGCTAAGGAGCCATATATTCTGGAAATATGAATTATCCAAATACCTGTCACTTGAAAAAGTGTATTCCTGGGTGTTCTTCAAGGTTTACAGACCAAAGAAAATCACGAGCAGGAGAGTGCCCTTCATTCTCTTGGCTTCTTAGTGGTGTGTTTTGGATATGCAACCCAAAAGCCTACACAGTCAAGAGCTTCAGCAAGCCAAAGGCATGGGAACTACTGTTCCCAGTCATCCAGTATATGGCAGGCTGAATGAGAAACAGGAGCTGCGCCAAAAATGTGTGAGCTTGAGAGCCAGCACTCTCAGGCTTTCAAGCACCCAGTATCTATAGCCATTCTACCACAACCAGGGAGATGCTGGAAGCCTGTGTTCCCAGGGTCCCACAGTTGAGCTGGCAGAGAAACACAGAAATCTCTGAAAGGAACTGCCTCTTTTCTATGCAACTTTATCAGAACAGAACTGTCTCCACACAAATAATTAGCACTCCAACAAAAAAAATTTCCTTGGAAACTGTGAATTAATGCTATATTTTGATATAATATGCTTTCCAGGTATAAAATAACTTTCATTGCTGTTCTCCAGACTTCTTCTAATCTGCTTGTATCTTCCTGAAATAAAACCGTATCCCTGGATTACCACGCTTAAGTAGTTTGCAGAAAAAGTACTTAGTAAAAACTGGCCTGAAAATACACCCTTCTATGAAGTGAGACCTCTGCATCAAGTTTTTCTCTCAGCTATATCAAAAATGTTTATTCATGATGATAACAGCATTTTATCAGCGCTCACCTTTTCTGGGAATTTTCCTGCAGAGGTTTTCGAATTGGTGAAAATTTGTGTTATTGTACCTCAGTTGTATGGGTTCTACCAAACTTCTCAATCTCTTAAAAGGAAAACCTGCCTGACTCCCTTCAGTTTTGTTTAATGAATGAACTTTGATACAAGTGCACTGTTAAAAAGCAATACATTTCTTCAGCCAAACTGATGCAATTCAAAAATATGAACTGTTCTTACCTGTTGTATGCCCACAGCGTAGGTTTTTAAAAAGAAGTCTGAGAATTCAAAGTATTCTTTAGTTACATTTCCAGGACTTCCATACCTTTAAAAAGAAAAGGACACAGATATTTACACTGTGAAAAGTCTGTTGTGTCAAGAAACACAATATTTTCTAAACCACAGAGGGTCCTGCATCAGCAAAGGAAACCTTTCCCGCAGGTTCCTTCCAAGACATCATTTCCCTTACAACGCCCCACTCCCCTTTTCTTAAATTATCATAAGGCACAATATTATAGTCAATAAGTATCGCTGACCTTTTGTCACAAGTTCTGTAACTTCCATGTTTATGGATTTCTTTTCAAATCTTCCCCTGCCTTTACATTTGAGAACATAAACACTTGTAGCTGGATATAGTAAAACAGGTTGACTGCTTTGCTTTTCCTGTGGGGTGAGTTTCTTGCCATTTTAGACAGTCAAATCATTTCACTAAGAGCTCAGAGCAGTGGCTGTGCCAGTGCAAGGCACAGGACAGCACCAGGAAAACTTCTTCAGTGACCATGTGCTGCTACACTGATTAAACTGTCTTGCTTAATTGCACATCAAGTAAGGGTACAGATTTGTAACCCAAAGGTTTTAATCAGTTTGTTACCGTTCAAAGAGACGAGCTACAATGTGCAATGCCCACTTCTTGCACTTCCACCACACCAGCTCTGGTCTATCATCTTCATCAATTTGCAAAGTCTCCTACAAATAAATGTATTTGTTTTAAATTAGGGATGTGATTTGTTGGGATCAACTATGCTTTAAACATCCCTCACTGAGTAAACTAATATAAATCCACAGTTTCAACTAAAGCTTTGGTTCTGTTAACAATTATGTAACAATTATCTTAATTAGTCAATATAATGTATATTGCTATACCTGCATGATGCCTGTGCTTTAATTTTCAAAATTATGCATATTCAAAAGATGAAAACCCTCAGATATGCTTGAATACTATACACACTCTGGTTTAAAAATTAAGCATGAAATAACTCCTCTGAATATATACACTCTAACCATATATGAGTGCAAAAGCTGTTCCAAGAAAGTTAAGGTTGTGAAATAAATTTCTAGAAAACTTAGGAAATGACAGTTAATGCTATACACACACCAACAAGAATTTAATTACTAATTTTATCTTGTTCTTTGAGAAATATGAAGCACTGATGAAATAAAATGAAGAACAGAGAAACTATGAGTTTGTGACAAGCTTTTGATTCTTGTTTGAGAGAAACTTGGAAAATACCCCAGATTTAAGTTTTTGTTTTGTCTCTACCTCAGACAATGAAATTCTGACAGCTTACATGACCCTGCCTGCAATTCTGTCAGAAATACCACTTAGTCCAAGGACAAGAATCTTAAATAAGTATTTTAAAAAAGGAATACTTAGAAAATGCTTATACCGACTGCTCCTCAAATGCCAACACAACAAGTATCAGAGGTCTTTATTAAGCTAAAACTTACCAGAGGTACATTTCTATCGATGATAGTCCGGAAGATCTCCATCCACTGAGTCATAGTCTGGTTATTCACCAGCTGGAGTGGCAGTGCATACTGAAATAAAAAAAACACCCCATAGGTATGAAATACTGTTTTTCTATGTAAAAGGTAGATCTTTCGACAGTAGTTACCTTCTGAGGAAGATGAGGTTTTAAGTAAAATTAAAACTGATTAGGTTAGATATCAAGACTACGCTAAATGTATCCTTCTTGGTCCAATTTACAGATGAATTTCTGAGCAGACACGATTTGAGGAAACTTCCTTGGTCTGAGAACTTGCCAATTCTTTTTGCTCCTTTCTCTTCTTCACAACAGCCCAGCTACCTTTTAGGGACCCACCAGTATTATGGGGTTTGGGCAAACAAATAGCATTTTAGAAAGCATAATGTGCTTTTTATTACTATCTTGCTACTACCTAGTAAATCTTTACTTTACAATACCCAAAGCAAAGTGACAATATACAGGAAAGTTACTGAAAAGAAAAATAGGATACTGGCATATTTTTAAACCTCCCCCCATATAATAACAAATTATTTTAACTTTTTAACCCTCAGAAAGAACTTTCAGGTTAGTCCCTATGTAGGATATGGTTTTGTTTCTGATTCTCTAAAAGTGCTCCCTCACCAAGCTCATCCCTGGAAAAGCCAAACTCATCTCTCTAAAATGAATGTCCTTCACTAAATAGTATCTGTCTGATCTTCAGAACATAATGAGAAATGCCACCTACTGAAGTGCAGTATTTGACAATTACACTCCCAGTATCCATTACTGACACTTTCAGAAGCCAACCACACAGTGTAGATACCCATACAGTTTATATCAGGTTATGTGCAATTTTATAAAAGTAGGATATTTCTCCAGTAAGATTACAGACAGAATGTGCAAAAGTACCTACACTCATTAAAAATTTAGTCTGGGAGTCCATGTGCCCAGGTTTTAAGTAGAAAGATCTATAAATATAATATTTGTATAGCAGTTGTTTACTGTACGTGACTTTGCCCATCCAAATGGGTATTCTTATTCAACTCCACCCCTGAGTGTACTGAAAGGGGTCACTGTGCCCAGCAAAGTAAAAATTTTGCTTTTTCCTCTACACAGATGCCAACCTGAACAAGAGCATAGAAGATTTTTAAGATCTGTTTCTGAAGCAGTACAGAGTAATGGGAGTTATCAGGCAGAAGTTGAATCATCTGCTGCTGAATCCGAGGCAAAAATATTTGCATTGCTGCTATAAGAGGATCTCGCTCCTCTGCTTTCTTGTATCTGCAAAGGAAACAAAAATGTTGGTCCAGGATCTACACACTGGAGATTCTAATGCCTATTCCCCACCAGCAATTTAATTTATGTCCTCTAAAAAAAAAGAATATCCACCTCTCCCTCATGCACTCTGACCTTCTCTAGCCCCCATCTCAACAATTTGTGCAAATTCACTATGAATACCTATAAACAGAGAAATGAAACCCAACATATGTTACCTTATCCAAATGCACCTACTGAGAGGAAGAACTACTGTTCTTTACTACTGAATTGTCAGCTCACAGGAGCAGTGACTTGAATTTCTCTGACGTTCATACCAGTGCCAAGCCTGACTTGGGTGCTGAACAAACAGGAGTGAACAGCCATCAGAAAGGAAAGACAATTTCTTGGTTTGGAAAAGACTGTCTTTCTCTATTTCCATTCCTTTTGTGTGGTTTATACACACATTTCTAACAACAGGCAATTCCAAAAGAAGTGAGTGAGAAAGCTCACTACGCTGCTCCTAATTCACTCTTTGTGAATTTAGACTATCAGGAGGATGGTACAGGTACACATGCAAGAGACACATGTACAATTATACATATGACAGTGACAACACTGTATTCATGTCATAAAGGCAGAAAACAATTTGCATTCGTATATCCAGCATTCGGGGACTCTCCAAACAAAGGAAGTTATAAACATATGGAGTTTTTCAGACATAGATTAAAGGTATATGGCCTCGAGAAAATAATGTCAGTAAATTCATACAGATTATTGCTGGCATCTCTGCTTTCAACTCACTGATGATATAAAGATGATGAATATTTTTCATTTGTTTGCAGGAAAGGAAACATAATTATTAATTCCCATTTTCCATGTGAATTCTTTGTAGAACTGCCGGTGCTCTCAATAAAGTCATTTTCAGTAATCAACTGAGACTAAATGCACTGATTCCTCCCCTACTGATGGACATCAACTTACTCATAAGTCTTCACCAGCTGATACAGGCACAGGAGGCTCCCAAGCCAACTCCCACTGTTTGGAGACTGCAGATAGTAGCCTATCTTGTCCACCACAGCTGTCCAATGGCCAGGAAAGTCATGTTTGATGATAGCACGAAGGCACATGGTCAGCTGGGCTCTACGGCAGGGGGGGAAAAGAAATATAAGCACGTAAGATCATGGCATAGGGTTTAAAATTAAAAGGATAGACCCCAAATCGTGGATTACTGGCTGCAATACATATGTCATAAGCATCATACATATTTAGATAGCAGTGAAAGAGTTCTGGGAAGTGACAGAAGAAAAACAAGAATAAAATCTTGGGGGATTTAACTTTGAGGAGGAAACTAATTTCAGAACATTTTAGGTACTTTCCCCCCCTCTCTCCTCCTTCTCCACATGCATCAGACAATATTTTAAAAGAATGAATTGCTCATGAAACCAGCTAGCTTTGTGCTTTAAAAATGAATGTTTATGCTTGCTTCTCAGGCTGAAAGCAACCACAAAAACACAAATTTGTATGTTTGCAATAAACAATAATGGCCTGTCTTATGATCCAAGGCACAGGTTCCTCAAGAAATTACAATCTTCCTGGGATATTCTAGAACAGCACTTTCTCAACCTCCAAAGTAAAGGGCAGAGCCAGTTAGGTAAAAAACATCTTATTACTCCTCTCCTTCCACACACTTTTAGATGCCACTCATGACGGTGAAGCAAAGCAGGATCATTAATTGACTGAAGTGAGGGATGACTAAGAAAGGTGAGCAGCACTGAACTAGAAGCTGTAAAGAAATACTCTTGGCTCTGTTAAGCAATGAAAAAATATTTTGTCTTGTCTTCTCTACTTAGTTTTCCTCAGGTATCCTCCTGCAGCCCATTACATCAGGAGGCACTATTACAGAGTAATAGTAGTTCAATATGGGGCCCAACACCTACTGATCATTTTAGCTTTGTACGAACTTACCTTCCCTCTCAAGCCTTTGGAGTTTGTGCTTGTTGCCAATTTGGCTCCTCCTCCCCCCTTATTCTTACAAGCAAACCATGAAAAATATCAGTACTAAAATATCAGACTAGTTCCAGTAAAGTTCTTTTGACTTTTTTAACCTCTGACAAATCTGCAAGTTTTTCCAGTGTTTAAAAACCCTGTACTTTATTCCAGGTGATTGTCCCAGGGTTTTCATCTCTTCTTTTAGATGCAGGCTGTCATTGTAACATCAGGGCATTTTAAATATCATGTTAAGAAATGATGCCTGAGTTAGCTTGCAAAAAAGTCTTCAAACTTCCATTATTTTGTGTTCCTTTGTATAAACTTAGCCTTCGTATTTATGACATGATGGCAGGGGAAACTACGTGCCTTTACCTCATTATTAGAGAAACAACAAGCACTTCCTTACCTTGTAGTGCAACCTTGGAAAGGAGCTCTATCTCTTAGGGGAGATACTAAATCTGTGTCAGAGCACGTTAGAAAAGCTGAACTGGAAATGATGATTTAGTTCATTTCCTTGTCTCTGCACGGGTTCATTTATACCCTAAGCATTCCTGGCAGATACTCATAAAGACCTCCAGTGACAGTAATGCTACTGCAGTCTAAATTCAATCTTGTGTATCTCTATTTTTCTCAAGCCTTATTTCTAATTTCAATGTGCAGTCAATCATTCCACTTCCATATATGATTACTGAAAAAATAAAGACATTTTCAAGCACTAGCTGGTAGATTTAGGAGGAGAGTAAAGGAAGATTTTCTTCTGTTTTTCAAAGATGAACATCTATACACCACAGCCTAATCCCATCCTATCAGCCTCACTCTGATTAGAGGGATGAACAACCATAGACTGTAGTATGTCTTGTGATTCTTCACTAGCCTTCCAGCAAACAGAAAACAGCAGTTCTTCATTCTTTTAACATCTTAAAACCAAGAACACTAATACTCATTTAAATACTGGGATGACATATAAAAATTGCTGACTTAGTTAAGAAAAGGGCTGCAAAAAAAAGGAAACAAATCTTGAGCAGTATTTCCCCTGAATGGTTAATTCTGTATTGCAGACAGCCCTGTACACAATCTGCCCTCAATCACCCAAATAGACAGGCTGTCACTACAGCAAGTGTTACAAGACACTTTGAACAAACACCATAGGAGGATAAATCCCACCACAGGGCTCTCAGCCAGGTTACCACATTTCTGAAAAACAAGCGCACGTAAATAAGTTTAAATTAATTATTATTGCTTTGGAAAACAAGTACTTGTTTCATCTACCAAAACACTGAGATTCTCACATTCACATCCAGACTGGTAGGTCTGAAAACACGAGCAATAGAAGTATCTCTGTGCAATGAAAGGTACCTCACTAAGTCAGGAGAACGAATTATTCCTTCCACAATGTTATCACGAATCTGCTGACGATCATTTTCATGGATGTTGAACGGAAACACTGCTTCTCCAGGAGGTGGCTCACGGTCTGGCCAGTACTGTGTCACCATGTTCTTCAGGTAAATGGCAGCTAAGTATAGACATCAGGGAAATAATTAATTCTAACACACTTCTACATTATTCAGTGCTCAAGATGTAGTACAGCTGAAAGCAGAACAAAGAGTCCAAAAGACGACTGAAAACCAGCACCCGAGTTCTTAACAATTACAGGCCCTAAGCACAGCTGAGTCAGAAAAACTTTTTTTATGATTTCACACAAGATCAGGCTCAAGTGGCTGTTGCTAAACAGAACAGGATGATATTTCTGCCAGCTTCTGTCAAGGTACTCTCTTCACTACAACAGTCTTCCATATGGACATAATACTCCATTGCTCTAAACAAGCAAACAAAAATCTGCTTATCTGTATTTTCACTCATCCCTAAAACAACTACTCAGGGTCAGTAAGTGAAGTTTGGGAAGGCTCGTGTAAACAAATTGCTGCACACACAGATGGGACGCTCTGCTTGGGGACATGCCCAGTACCAAACTGGCACATGGCCTACCTTCTATTCACACAGAAATGTTTGTTGTGAATTCCCTAAGCTTTATCTCACTATTAGGATTTCCCATAATCCCTTAGAATTGTTCCCTTCTGTCTCACATGGAAAACCATGAAAATAAAGCTAATCTTCAAGAGAAAACCAAGCAGCATTCAGGCATCAGTATTGAAATGCCTGTAGGCATTCTTTAGGAAATATAGGAAATATGGTGTGAGGCATTAAAGGAATGTTCTTACTAAACTCTTATCCCTGTACACTATTTTGGTTGATTACTGGCTAGGGTTTTAAAGTATAAATAAGACATCCTTGGGTACAATAATTTTTCTCGGTGATGACAAATTACAAAGTATGAAAACATGTAGTTTGTTAAATATTTTATAGGAGCAAGAGGAGAAACAGCTCTTTGTCTATGACACGCCAGAATATTCAGACAAGAAACAGATCCAGAAAGACCAGCCCAAGACTTTAATTTACTTTGTCCATACAAGTTATTGGCTTTTAAAAAATTCCCAGGGAAATCTGTTGACCTCCAAATGTAATTTAAATGCGCTTTTTTTTATTTTATAGCCCTACGCTGTAA